GATTGGCTGGCTGTTACCGGAAATATCTGCTTCCCCCCCTGTAAATCCAACGGTAAAGGAGGCCTGGTTGCGCAGACGTTCGCCGTAGTAATTTTCGGCCTGGGCAAGTTCAATATAAAATCGGTTTTGATTTCCATTGTTAAAATATGGTCCAAAACTTGTACATATCGCCGAAGTACCTCCGTATTTTCGAAGAACGGCATTTGTTGTACATGCTGGCGAATTTTTTTGGAGAATAAAGCGATTTGAGTGTGAGAATTTTCGATTCGAAGTGCCGTGCGGTCGTATCGACGATCGGGAATGGTTAGCCTTTATCATGTTTCATGTATACTAGTAACATCGAGTACAAGGTCTCGGAAAATATTAGTCCAACAAAGGAGGAATACAAGGAGAACACACACTATCAAATAGGCAAGTCAATTTCATTTTAAAATTTATATTTTATGACATATTTTTACTATAATATACAATTAATATAATATAAATTTATACTGTATAAAGTCTATACTGACCCTTGCGAGATTGGGCCGCCTGTGGTTTTATAAAGAACACTAGTGACTTTAAAACGTTTTGCGAAGCGTTTGTGGTTGAATTTTACCTTAAATTGAGGCTTATATTACGTATAATAACATACCTAACATATATATGTTGGGAAATTAATAATTTTGTAATTGAAAGTGATATTTTTAGGCGATATTTTATTTGTAAGGATATTCTTAAAAAATTATCGTGTTACCATGACAACAACTTTAGATACTTCATGTTCGGAAGATACAATGGTCTTGTCAGCAAGGCGAGGGTTTCTGCATGCATGTATTTTCTAGTAATTATTATATAACAGTTAACTTATAAACAAAGTTACCTGTTGTGGAAGAACAACCATCATTGTCTTGAACAATTGCTGTTACAAGATTGAACACAAACATACCAAAAAGGTATGATTTCTGAGCTCGAAACAACATACCGTAATTTGATGTTTGTGATGTTACTGTGAGTGTATATCCACATCGGACAAGCTTGAAAAATATGCCTGGCCACTGTGGGAATCGAACCTACGACCTTTGTAGGAATCGAACCTACGACCTTAGTAACATCACAAACATCATATTCACCTGAGTACAGAATCACCAACACAGAACACCAACACAGAACACCAACACAGAACAGCAACACAGAACAGCAACACCAACACCAACACCAACACTAACACCAACACAGAAAAAAAAACCCGTAATTTGTAAATTTTTTCAGTAATATATTAATAAACACAAATTACGTCTTTGATCCTCCCATATAAGAAACAGCGCGTTCAGTATTTACCAAGTTATGTTTTCTTTTAATTTCCAAATATATTTCGAAAGTTCTGTATCGTTTGAGTATTTTTTGTGATTGAAAGACCTATTGTGAAAGTGGTTTCGGACTTTCGGTATCGTTCTTTAAATGGGGTTGCTGTCATGCCGATGTAGTGCTTTATGCAGTTCGTGTTGCTTGTTGTGACAGGTGCCTCGTATACTTATATGTCCTTGGTCTTGCATTTTCTGGAGTGGGCATGCGTTCCTACAGTTGCAACTGTCTGCGTTTTCGCTCTGTGGCAGGTTTTTCCTAATTAATGCTTGCATTATGTCGGGTAATGTTGGACTTCACATTGTTCATGCAACTATAGTTGACCTTAACTTTGTTTCTGTTAAAAATTTTGTGACGTTTCTGTTAGAATATGCTCCTGATATTCTGTTGACAATGATAATAAGATTATTAGTTAATGAATGACATTGATTACTATAGATATGTATGTAAAATGTAATCTCTGGATACCACAAATTCCAGTACAAATAGTTGCTCCATGTACCAAACTGTATACCATTTATGGTAATAGAATGTGATATGTCAAAATACTTATTATAGATATAATCTTGTATATATATGTGTGATTTTTATTATTAAATACATTCTTTTGTAAAACTCCAAAGTTGTATGTTGTGCTTCGTATTCGAGAAGAAGAGCGATGGCAACGGTACAAAACCCAACAGGTTATGGGCCTAGAAGAGGCTTGATTTTTGATGGAGACGAGAACAAGTATGAATTATGGGAGGTGAAGTTTTTGGGATATATGCGACTCCAAAAACTTTACAATATATTCATTCCTAGCAGTAGCGAAAGAGAGCTAGATGAGGCAAAGAACGCAGATGCCTTTGCCGAATTAGTGCAATGTCTAGATGACAGGAGCTTGGCCCTGGTCATACGAGAGGCGAAAGACAATGGAAGAAAAGCCCTGACGGTTCTGAGAGAACATTATCAAGGCAAGGGAAAGCCCAGAATAATATCGCTGTACACGGAGTTAACGTCGTTGAAGAAGGCAGAAAATGAGACAATTACGGACTACATCATACGGGCAGAAACTGCCGCGACCGCATTGAAGGCTGCAGAGGAAGTAATCAGTGATGGACTTCTGATTGCCATGGTACTCAAGGGTCTACCAAACGCGTATAAAACGTTTTCTACGGTGGTTATTCAACGAGAAAACCAGATGAATTTTGGCGACTTCAAAATCGCATTGCGTAACCATGAAGAGAACGAGAAGTGCTGCAGACCGGCGGAGAATGGCGACAACGTAATGTACGTGAAGAAGAAATTTGAAGGAAAGTGTTTTAAGTGTGACAAGAAAGGACATAAAAGTTCCGATTGCTGGATGAAAGCTGAAAAATGGTGCAACAAGTGCAAGAGCAAGACACACAATACCAAGGATTGCAGAGCAAGAAGAGACGGTGTAAAGATGGCCGCTGAAACCGGCAAAGAGAACGCTAAAATACATTCATTTGCATTTACACTTAAGGAAAATAATTCTAATGGAGGTAAGACCTCAAATCTACTAGTAGATACAGGGGCAACAAGTCATATAATTAATGATAAATCTAAATTTGTAAATTTTGACGAGAAGTTCGACCCAAGTAATCATGTAATAGAGTTAGCTGACGGAAGTAAAGCTAATGTTGTTTTAGGTAAAGGTAACGCTAAAGTTAAATTGTACGATATTAATGGTAATTTACAAGATGTAATGCTTAGTAACGCGCTGTATATTCCGTCTTATCAGCAAAATATTTTCTCCGTTCCTGCTGCAATAGAGAAGGGGGCTGCTGTTAGCTTAGATAGGCAAGTTAGAGAGTACAGGGACCCCGAGGGAACAGTGTTTGGTATCAAACAGGTAGGTAAATTATATTACTTAAATAGTATATCATCTTCTCAAAATAACGCATCGTCCCTAATGGAATGGCACAAGATATTAGGGCATTGTAATTATAATGATGTGCGCAAACTTGAGAGCGTGGTTAAAGGTATGAAGATAGTAGATGACAAGGAAATCCTTTGTGAGGTATGTACACAGGGTAAAATGTGCCAACATCGAAGGCGAGAGCCAGATCAAAGGGCAAAAGGTCCTCTTGAGTTCGTACACTGTGATTTAGCTGGTCCAGTTGAGCCAGCAGCGAAGGATGGTTTTAAATATGCCTTATCTTTTGTAGATGATTTCACTGGTACTAACTTAATATATTTTCTTAAACAGAAGAGCGATACAGTGGAAGCTACTGAAACGTTTTTGGCTGATATTGCACCCTTTGGAAAGGTAAAACGCATTAGAAGCGACAATGGTACGGAATTTACCAGCCGGAAATTTAAATCACTACTGCGTCAAAATTCAATTAAACACGAAACCAGTGCGCCATATTCCCCACACCAAAATGGCACTGTAGAGAGAGCGTGGCGGAGTTTATTTAGCATGGCTAGATGCATGCTATTAGAAGCAAATCTCCCCAAACGTTTGTGGACGTATGCCGTAATGACAGCGGTGTATATTAGAAATAGGTGTTTTAATTCTAGGTTAGGAAAAACTCCGTATGAAGCACTGACAGGTAAGCAACCTAATCTTAGCAATATGCATGTCTTTGGCTCAACATGCTATGCCTTTGTTCAAAATGTTAAGAAATTAGACGACCGGAGCCGTAAAGGTGTTTTTGTAGGTTATGATAAAGACAGTCCAGCATACTTGGTATACCACCCAGAAACAAACAAAGTGGAAAAGGTAAGATGCGTGAAATTTTTTGATAATTTTGGAACTGAGCCTGAGGCGTCTAATGACAACCAAGAGTTAATTGTGCCAAATAAAGAACACGTTGAGACTACGGTAAATGCTAACGAGCTGCCTCAGCAAATGGATGAAAATGCTGGTACAGCAGAGGTAGAGAACAACGCGGCGAGATATCCAACACGCACTCGCAACAAACCAAGGTATCTTGATCAGCCAATTATTGACGACAATGTTAACCGCACTGTTGATTATTGCTTTAGGGCTGTAGACATTCCAAAATGTTACAAGCAAGCAATAAAATCGCTGGAGGCTAACAAGTGGCAAAATGCCATGAATGCAGAGGTAAGCGCATTAAACGATAACAATACGTTTGAGTTAGTCCCACCACCAAAGGATCGACAGATACACTGTTAATTTCAGGGTGTTAAAATAACACCTCGGGTGGTGTTAGATTAACACCAACTGGTGGTGTTAAACAAAGGTGTTATTTTAGCACCCTTTTTCGGTGCTAATTTAACACGACATAAATAAAAATATTTTGCAAAGTGTTAATTTAACACTCAAATTGTTTAACACCACTTTAGAGGTGTTAAAATAACACCCACTTAAGGACAGGTGGTGTTAAAATAACACCGGTTTCTGGTGCTGAATTCTTGGTGTTAAAATAACACCATAAGTGGTGTTAAGAATTTGTATTCCCCAGTGTTAAATTAGCACTGTTTGTGGAGTGAGAACATGGGTGTTAAAATAACACCTTTTTGGT